ACATCGGGGTATTTATGAATTGATGATGAATTGCTAATAGTGGAAAGAAAAACAGTCGCCTCATCCCAGGAGCAGCTGTGGGAGCTACTGTCCTCAGACTGTCTGAGCAGAGGGTCAGAGTCGCAATCCTGGCAGCAGAGCTACCATCACTTCCTGCAGGAGGAGGGAGTAGATGCAGAAATGCAGAAAAGAGCTTTACTGTTGCAGCTGTGGACCACACAGGTGAGAGTTGGATTACTGTCTATCTCTCACACACTCACACAAACCACGCAAAGACACCCAAACATATAAACCTTCCACACCCAGACTGCATGCTTGAAGTTGACTCCACAGTGTTCACTCTGTAAACAATGCAGTGGTGAGAAACTGCCAGTTTTTTAGAGCAACATGCCTCAACAGGTAACTCAGAGCAGACTTTTTGATTATGTGAATCCGTTTCCATGACTCCTTATGTTTGTGGTTTGGTAATTACAGTACATGTCTGTACAGTATGTACTGTAACCGGGAAAACACACTGAAAGCGAGACGTCAGCGATACTGAAGTGTGATTCCGTTCATTCCAGACTGAAAGCGAGATATGAGTGGCATGTTGAGTGTCTTTAAAGTCATCAGAACAGCTGTCTGTCAGTCAGCAGGACAGCAGCTGCAGAAAGAGGCTTTACCAGACTGAATGACAACACAAGTGTACTTGACATAAGTAGTTTTCATGTAAGATCATCAGGAAGAAATCATGCTTTTATGTAGCCTATGGATTTATTGATTTTGCCGGCTTGTTACAGAGGGTGAAAGTGAAACTCACACTGTGTAGTTTTAATTAATACCACTTGAAACAGAAAACAAGAGTATTTGTGTGATTTCAGCAGCTGTCTGTGGAGATTATGCTTCACTAAATGCAGTAGGGAGGAAAAAATAGACATGAAGTGTAAAAAAACGTGAGGATTCTGTGGTAGACATGCGTCATGCTCATCTCAGATTCACTGTGGATTGAAGCATTTGACAGAGTGAAATTCTATGTGCAGCGTGAGACTTGAGTAGAAAACACTTTCAAAAACACTTTCAGTGTGGATTAGAAGTAAGATAACAGTATTAGTCATCTGAGTTTGCTTCTTCTTTTCTTTAAATCACAGAGATTTATGCACTCATTCCCGAGAAGTGATGTCAGTCTGATTTTGTACTGCTGGCTACAGAACAGGTCCACTGATAATGTTGTTTAACCTGTGGATGTAGTTAAGCATCATGTATAAAAAATCTCTTGGATACTTTGCTTTGTCTAGTCCAAGGTAACTTTTTATTAATTGTAAACTTTAATCTCGCTCAAAAAGTTACAGTGTGCAAAGTTGACACTATCAGTAATATGGTCAGAGAGGTGAATGCAGAGACAAGTCCAGTCAACATGGTGTTGTTGCTCTGTGCTGCCAGGTGGGGGAGAGAGTGAGCTGTTTTAATGTCTTTTCTGCTGCTCATCTGTGCTACATTTTATTAGGTGTAATAGCTGCAGCTCTCTGTTAACCTGCCAGTCTCACTGGAGCATTTGTTGTTTACCCAGTAAAACCACTGTACAGCATTAAAGCAATGGGAATCCTTGGTCAGACCACCAACTGCAGGCTCTTTTTCCTGCTCTGTTGGTTTGGGAAAGACTCCAGCATATTCGTTTGTTTGTGTGTGATCATGTTTGCTGGGATACTGGAGCACACACTCTGAGTCTGGAATGGAAACTAGAGCACCACTGCAGAGAATAGAGGGATTAGATGCAAGACTAGTGAGCTTATATGTGTCTTAGAGGCTGACTGAGGTATTGCGGCATAATATATTATGCTGGGATTTCACTAAAGCCTCCTGAGTCCTGCACAAGCTGGAAGTTGCTGTTCTCTTTCCATTAGCAAACAATCAGTGTTTAACCAAACACTTTTCTTTTAGGAGATGTTGTGATGACTGAACAACCCAACCCATATTTTTGAATGTAAAAAGAATCTATGATCATATCAAGAAAATTACTTTATAGAAAATTAAGTGTCACTTCCACTTACTTCAAGTTTACCAGATAGCTAATTTGTTTAATCCATACAAAATACTGAAGTGTGAAAACTAAACAGCAGTAAATATATATTTAGCCTACAGGCATGCAAATGCAAAAGCTTCTCACTGAACTCTCTGTGCTGAAATCCCCACCCTGGAGTTACCAGACTCACTATTATTTGATGCATCAGATCTGGTGAACTGAAGCTCTGTGGTGGCAGAAAGACAATGTGATCCACCTCCAGTCACTTTTTTGGCATTTGCCCTTGCTGTCGGTGGAGAGCTGACCTGAGATGTGATGAGGGAAGAAAAACAGCTCCCTTACCCATAGCAATTACCGTCTGACAGGGTCAGGTGCCTCTCGCTGACGCCAGTGTCTACAAAAGGGACTCGTTGACTCATATCAGTCATATTCACACAGCAGCATTACAGAGAAGTTAGAGAGAAAATATTGGTTTATGGTCCCAAAAGCTGAACAAAGCCAAAAATTAGGCCATAAATATGTTGCCATACACAAAATATACACTGTCTTTTGTGTAGTTTTTTTTTATACTGGAAGGTAATGGAAGAACTGAATGTGCACTAAGTTGGGTGTTTGTCTTTTCAGTGTAATGCTGGACCCGCTGCCTTTTGGCTTCTTGGCTTCCTGCTTACTCACCCTGAGGCCATGAAGGCTGTTAAATCAGAGATCAGAGGCCTTGCTCTCCAGGACACTTCCCTACAGCATCCCCACAGCAACCCGCTGGAAGCACAAAGCACACCTGTGTTTGGTACACAACAGCTGCTCACTGCCTTTTTACATATTCACTCAAGGCCTTCTTAGGGTGTAGCCACTCCAGTGACATGGAAACAAAGGTTCATTCTGACTTGTTGGAAACAGTAACAGTAAAAGTTTATCCTTTGACTCAATTATATAATGACCTATTTCTTATACTCATACCTGTGCAAATGTTTATACCTCTCCAATGAGGGCACGGCTCATTTAACTCACACCGATGTCATTCACATTGCCGTCCTCTCCATTCTGCAGACAGTGTTCTGAGTGAGACCTTACGGCTCACCGCCGCAGTGATGATCAACAGAGAGGTAGTACAAGACAAGATTCTGTGCATGGCCGATGGACAGGCGTACCACCTCAGAAAAGGCGACAGAGTGTGTCTTTTCCCCTTCCTCAGCCCTCAGATGGACCCAGAGATACACCAAGAACCAGAGGTACTAGAATGTACAACATGTTCATTGTTTTAGCGGCACAAAAAAGAATGCAGTACCATCAGTATACATGTTGATGTGTAGAATCCAGGATAAAACAAATAACAGAATGCACCTTTTTAGGACAAGCAGCTACATAAATGCATGCAAATGCCGTAAAAAACATAGATGACTAGCAAAGGGCCCAGATCAATTCCTAATTTTGATTCAGTTTATTTGTCTTTGGTGGTTAGAGATAGAAGATATGGAGCAGGAGACATATGTTCAAGCTCATTATAAGGCCCATGTGTAACATCTGTTTTTTTTTCTGGTCTCTTTTCCTTTTTTATGTGTCTTGTTAATAGGTCTTCAAGTATGATCGCTTCCTAAATGAAGATATGACAGTTAAGGATCAATTCTACAAGGGTGATAAAAGACTGAAGTACTGCAAAACATTTGCATTGGGAAAGAGCTTGCAGTTAAAACTATTAAACAGTGAGTGTAAAAATCCCAGGCATTTGTTTTTAAATTCACATATTTCCATGACGTGTGTGTTGCCTGTTAAATATATCACCTGTTCTAATGTGTTTTGGCCCATGTGTCTCCAGATTCGTGTTCTTGCTCTTGACCCATCTTGATCTGGAGATGTGTGACCCAGACGCCAAACTGCCACAAGTTAACCCTGGTCGCTATGGCTTTGGGATGCTCCAGCCAGACAGGGACCTGCAGGTGCGATACAGACTGAAGAGGACACAGCATGAAATGTGAATTGATCATTTGAATTATTACACAAATGTTGATTGATCAAGACTTTCTCATAGTTAACTTTGTTGTGTGTAATTAATGTTCTCAATAAAATGGAGAAAATCTTAATTAAGCTATATGTCATTTTTTGATAGATTACAAATTGCCTCCACATTCTGTGCTTCATTTTCTTTATAATCATTCATGTTTGTACTCAAATAGCTAGTTATTAGTGATATTTCAGAATAAGATTTTAAATTTAAAAAAGATGTGGGCATAGAAAATACAATGCATTGTTAAATATCACAACTGTGATTCCCAGCTATTCTGGTTATTGAACACATACAAAAAAGTAAGATGGGGCCCCTTGTAACATTTCAGATGTCTGAGTTATCAACCGTTCTGCCACGAGTGATTTCTGCTTTAAACATCCAAACATCCAAGAACTGTCCGAAACCCAAATAGTCAAATATTTCACAAAAAAGAAAATATACAGTCCCAAGATCCAAAAATCTGAATATAAATTTGTGTTGCAGACCTTTTTTTTTTTCTTGCTTATTATTATCCAGTCTTGTAACCCTTTCAAGGGGGCAGATCCCTGCTACAACTGTAAGTTTCTCCTTATGCACTGATGCATCATCAGTCTGATAATGTAGTATATAATAAACAATATAATCAACACTTACAGCGGCCATTATATTATGATACCTGAAATACATTTGTTTCAGAAGGATTGCAGGGCTTTTGGGGGGATTGTTCACATTGTTTACATTAGTACTTTTCCTTAAATGAGGGATCTTAATACTTAAAACTTCTTCCACCACTGCTTATCCTGAAGCCTATGTAACGATAAAGTGGCGGATGGCCGATTTAAACACCACTAAACTGAAGTAAGTTTAAGGAGATGGTTTAATTTATTTTTCTGTCTCTGAACTTACAGTCTATAGGCAAAGCTTCTGTCATCGATTTGTTTCTCATGCTGGGCATTCAGCTCATGCATAGGCTACATTTACCCATCTCTTCATGTGCACTGACATTACATGGTGTTTTCATCTAAAGCTACACCCCGGACCAAACACAACATCAGTGCGCGTCAAGGCGCGGCGCTGAAAGAGTTAATCAGCTGTGGAAGAGAGCGCTGAGCTGCCATGGATCTATCTTCAGAGAGATGCTGCGGCTCCTCACAGCTGACTGGGAGCACAGGTAGTCTGTCCGAACTGGTTTCCAGCATACTTGTTGATCTCGGGGCGAAACAGTGGGGCAGGAAACCAGTGGGTTGGCAGTAGATCGCACCGAGGACCTCTCTGCCATGTCGGAGGCAGAGGAGGGGGAAATGGATTGGGTTAGACCCTGGCAATCGAACCAATAACGGCGCCTCCTGCTTTTAAACATGCTTCTGCTTCATCTCGGTTTGTGCCAGCGGACTGATTGTTCACAGAGCGGTACGTGCTGGTGCATTCAGTGCAGGATGACAACACCTCACTATGGTATTGTTTAAGCTTGTTTCCATCTCTGGACCTCTATGTAACACATCAGATTATCAATTACATGCAAGATTGTGCCGCGTTAAAACTGCACCAATATGGATCCTTTGAAAAACACAGGAATGATAAACGATGGAGGATTTGCGTTCACAACACTGCAGTTTTAGATGATTGAACATCACACTGAGCAGGTCACCATTTTCAGTTTAGCTTCACAGAACATTACATATAAAGACATGCTGTTTGTAGTTGTTTTGTCCAGTATTAAATCATTTTATCGAATCACTGACTTCAGTATTACAGAAGGGTGGAGGCTCCTTCAGATAACATCTCTTTTTACTGCTTCTCTGCAGCCTGTTACTGCGGGTCCAAAAGCCGACGCAACGCTCCGTCCTCATAGTCTGTTAATGTTTCGAATTGGTACGTGCTTCCTCACGTATGTTGACAAGATGCTTAGGCCTAATTGTGACTGTGAAGTTATTATAAACTTTGTGTGACACTCATCCATGCTCACATCTGCAGGCCTGCTGTTTTGTTGGACATCATACAGCCATAAACAAAATAAACAGTATGTGCAGTGTGCACCTTGTGCCACGTCTACGGTCGTAAATCGTTTAGAAAATGCTTAAACGCTTTGTCAGGAGAAGATGTAGGCTGCGGTCTATATTTTGTCCTCACAGCCTCCCCCGTGGAAGCTCGCTGCTGTGATTCAGGGAGTGAGCAGCGTTTCCTGGTGTTTCAGCACCATTAGACTGGACAACGCTCACTTTGTACCACCATCCTCTGCGTCCCCACCCACCGCTGCATGGGCGTCAAATGAGCAAAGACCAAGCTAAAGACTGGGGAGAACAAACTACTGCAAACAAACAATCACAATCAACACCAGTTTATTATTCAATAGAATATATGAAATGTAACAAAATTGTTAAAAATGCCCATCATTATCCTCCTAGTCCCATCCAGCTATGTGAGCCACCATTTAGAAGCGTTTAAGAACTTTATATTTGATTTATTAACAATCGTGCCTTTCCATACCCAGCTTAGCTGCAAACCAAAGCTTAAAACGAGATGAGGATTTTGTACTATATTAGTCATGGTTACCAAACGTTTTCCTTGTGAACCCCCTAAATAGAAATGTATGATTCTGCAGACTGCTATTAGGTGTGAGTCATCTCAAGAACTCCCATCTGTGGGTATGTTTATCACTGGTTCAAGACATACAGTAGTTTAAAAAGAATTCAAAGAAGCTGATACTATAGATGATGTGATAACAGCCAGTGACTGGTCCTAAATTTCACTGCCAATGATCTTTTGGTTCTGATCGTCAGGATATGTGGTCCTGTGGCAAAGTAGTTTGGGAAACAGTCATGGCAATTGATTTTCAGTGAAGTCTCTCTTAGTATCTGCCTGGTTTGGCTGGTTACAGAACAGTATTAAGTCAGGAGTCCAGTTTTTCCCTTGTTGTCTCTTAATATGTGTCAAAGTCCCGATTCAGAGGGTAAGGAAGATCGAGAAAACAGGATAACATATAGGATTAAGCAGTTTTAAATAGTGAATTATCCTATAATACTACTACTAATAATACCAGTAATGATAACCATATTAATAATAATACACTTTAATACCCTGGAACCTGGTCTTCAAGACCCTACAGTTCCTTGCTGGTTTTCAGTATAAAGCTCTAAAATTTTAGTAGGAAATGATCTCTGTCTGATGACAACTATATTAAGCCAGGTTTCTACTTTTTTAGGTGTAAGTCATTCAGAATTCAGTGTGAGGGTATATGTATTGTTGTTACAGATTAAAGGTTTAAAAAAGAAGAAGAAGAACAAAAGAAAGGAATTCAAAGACAACAGTGCTACAGATGCTGGAGTTTCTAGAGTTAATACGCTGTAAATTTCTGTCCATCATTCTGCTTCCCTGGAGCACTGTAGAGCATTGATTTTAAATCCTAGAAGTCAGGATCCTGCAGTTGCTTTTAATATTTCATTCTAGTCAGAGAAAGGATACCAGGTTGGTTTTGCTCAAAGCCAGTGGTTTCCAGCTTTTTTTTTTTTTGGCTTGGATTCCTTGAAATTAAGCAGTGTGTATTTGTGACCTGAAGAGATTAATGTTTTTCACAAAGAAAAGCCAAATATTAGAAAAGTCACAAAATATAACATAGGTTTTTGGAGCATAAATACTGTGATATTTCCTTCTTAAATCACCTTGTGAACTATCATATTTTATAATACTGCATTTGAGTCCTTGTGGGGTCCTAATCTCTGAGTTGGGAACCCCAGCCTTGGGGACGTCGGCCACAAGCTTTTATCACCATATGGCTTCAGAGTCTGATGACTGTTATGTTGACCTGAAATTTTGTATAAATCCTAATTATGTCTTTTTCTTTTTTTGATGATTTTAGACACAATAATGAAAGAAAACAGGATCAACTGTAGTCCATACCCCTGGATGTTTGCAGCTCTCACAACATAAAGCCATCATGGAGAAATCTTTGGCAGAGTTAAATAAACCTGGGTCCCGGTCAACATCATCGCTGCCACCAGAACCAGTGGACATCATTCGCAGCAAGTCATGTTTTCGCAGAGTCAGGCTGAATGTTGGGGGTCTCCCACATGAAGTCTTGTGGCGAACATTAGATAGGCTACCAAGAACACGTTTGGGAAAGTTAAGAGATTGCAACACCCATGAATCCCTGATGGAAGTGTGTGATGACTACAACCTTGAGGAAAATGAGTATTTTTTTGATCGACATCCAGGGGCGTTCACATCTATTCTGAACTTCTATCGCACAGGTAAGCTGCACATGATGGAAGAAATGTGCGCCCTGTCGTTCAGTCAAGAACTCGACTACTGGGGTATTGATGAGATTTACCTGGAGTCGTGTTGCCAGGCCAGGTATCACCAGAAAAAGGAACAGATGAATGAGGAGCTCAAAAGAGAGGCTGACAACTTAAAAGACAGAGAAGGAGAAGAATTTGACAACACTTGCTGTGCCGAAAAACGAAAGAAACTTTGGGACCTCTTGGAAAAGCCCAGCTCATCTGTTGCAGCAAAGGTAATTGTCATTGGATGTTAAGTGAAAGAGATGAGTGTATGATGGGTTGGAGCAATCCCCTACTACTGTGGTGATGATTTTTACAGGTCTGTACAAAATAACTTAAAGACACAGAGACAGAAACGTGTAAACATAAAGTTTATATTTTTTTAGCAATGATCTTCTGTGGGGGAAAAGTCAGTCAGTCAGTCTGTCAGTTGGTCTTTCCACCACTTTGCTCCAGACTTAAAATATCCCAACAACTATTGCATGGATTGCAATGTAATCTGATTTAGACATTCATGATGCCAAAAGGATGTAAGCTATTGACTTTGGTACCCTCTGATTTATAATACCACCACATTCATAACCCCTCTAGCACATATTGTAATCACACTGACACCTTCACCTGTCCTCCCATGCCAACCTCAGGTCAGTACTTTGGCTTATCACTTTATCCCTGCAAAACAAATGCCTTTTCATCAGCATCAACACATATTTAATGCTAAGTACCAAACATTTGCATGCTAACATGCTACAGTACGATGGTGATTATGGAAAACATTATACCTGTGAGCATGTTAGCTTGCAAACATTAGCATTTAGCTCAAAGTACTGCCACACATACAGCTCGGCAGAGACGCTGTCTGCAGCATCTTAGTCTTGTTTTATAGAGTTTCATACTTTGATATATTGATCCATGTTTTATAGACCTTCTGCTGAAGTAAGTTGAATGCCTTTAGTGCTTAATTGTGGCATTTGTAAATGAACTCATGTGTGATGTTATGTGTGCAAGTGTTCTGTATGAGTAAGCAGCTGAACACAGATAATTGCCATTACCATTCCAGAGAGAAACAAAAGAGAACAACAAATGTTTTTGCACCTGTGAAAATGCACTCCAGACTTTTCAGATCCACTGACACATTTAACAGACACACGAAATGGGCGGGTTGTTCGTTTGCTGTGTAGACATTTTGATTGTTACAAAGTTAAGGATGGAAAAAGCCAGTGGATGATATTTATCAGTGTGGGATGTGTGTGCTGTTATCTGCCATTATCATACCAGAAAAGGTATGTCTTAGCAGTCAGAGGGGTTTGGTAACAGTGGAAGTGGCTCTATGCACTGCTCATGGCAGTTTCTTAACCATGTCACAAAAATCATTAGCTGTATCCCCTGTAATGCTCTTTTTTATATGTATAGCTTGATTTTGCAACTACAAACAAATCTTTGTTCTTCACTGCAGAACCTTTATACAAACGAAAAATACCTTCAAACACACACATATAGATGCACTCAGGCATGCTTATACTTTGATCCTATGCACTGCATGTGCAAAAAATAATTTAAATATCACTTAGCTGATCTCATTTGCAACATGAAATACATATTAGACTCTAATTTCTGTGAAATATTCTCTGTGTTTAGTCAGTTGTTTGTGCAGCAGCCTGCATCATTTTGGGCTTGAAATTAGATATTCTGCAGGATATATAGGATTTCTGAACAACAAAAGACAGCAGTTTGTGATATGTCATTAATATGCACATTTTAATAAACAAATAGTGGAAGGGTTAGAAACCCAGAAAGGTTAGTAAGTGTGGAGGTTAGCTCACTATTAAGTCAGCTATTAGTAAAAAAGCAGTCAGACCATACTCCTCAAGCAATTTATTTGAGATTATTTCTTGAGGCGGGTGGTCACAACACAACAGCTGCTAGAATTTAAAACCCATGTGGTTTAGTTATTTGTTTGAATGATCGTGTAATCCTGCATTTTGTTTGTAGCAGCCATGTGTTGAATGTCCCCGGTCACATTTAGATGTTGAGATCCTCACTCTTCTGCATGTTATTTTCTTATCTGAAGGCCACATTTGCCAGCTTCTACCAAATGAGCTCACCTTTAGGGTAGAATCACATGGACATTTGGGGGCTGCACTGGTGAGGGCATGTTGTTTCATGGTCTCAGTGAAACACTGAAATGCACTCTAGGAAGTCCAGTTGGAGGAACAGATTTATATGTTTAAAACAAGCCCCCAGCAACAGCACTGCGCTGTGAAGCAAATCTGGCATAGTGGCCAAAGCCCGCTACTACAAATGCCGCATTCATCAAATGATGCACACTGGCCCAAAAAGCATTTTTCCCATAAAGAATTATTGGAAAAAGAGCAGCTGTAAATGGCGAATACATTTTTTTGAGCATCACAAACCCAATGAAATGTCTCTGTTTATAATGAGGTAAACATCAGAAATACAGGATCAGGTCGCATATTTCTGTCCAAACCCGACCCGTGCCCGAGAGTGTGGTGTCTGAACCTGACCAGGACCTAACAAGCTCATAGTTTATAATGTCCGAACCCGACCTGAGCCTGACACAACTGAGTTTGCATGGTGCTTTCTCCCTCATCATTAAACAAAGCAGACATTTGATTGCCCCTGATGTCTAGCCTAGAGTTTGATTTATGTGTCCAAATCTGACCCAAACCCAAACATAATTTCTAAATTTCTCTCCTAATCCAGCCTGGACCCTCAGGTATTGACTGGTCCCGTCAGGCTCAGTTCGGGTATCGACACTAACAGGACTGGCAATGCAGCGCCTTACACGATGATGCTATGTTGCACCACACTCAACTTATATGATGCCGCATTGTTTTGTAGGACCCACCTTTGATTGACCCATTGCAATGTCAGTGCACTTTTCCCATTCAAATGAATGAGAAGGGCTGTGTTTTTTTATCACCCATAGCAAAACTCTCTGTGAATACAGCCTTAGTCAGTGCAAAAAGACAGAGATGGCCCTCAGCGGGTCTTTCAGAGAACCACACCTACAACTGCAACCTAGGAGAGCACAGCAGTGTTAAACATGAGCAGCCTTTGATCACACTCTTCTAGATTGGACTGGAGGAATCAAAGAGGACACTCTCTATTTCCGGCACAGTATTAAAGGGAGCACCATGTCTTGTTTGGCTTGCAGCAATCATTGTATGGGAAATGGAAACGAGCAGTTTCTGCTAGCCGATGCTGTTACAGAGCAGACTTGTGAAAGCTGTCAGTGCTATCCCACAAACAGACACAGATGAGTGCTGAGAATCTGTCAGTGAAATGTCTTCTTCATAGGAATCAAAGAGATGTAAAAATCAATGTGTATTGTGTTAGAGCTCAGAAAGTGCTGTAGCCTACAAAAAAGAGATGACCATTCTGAGTCTACCATACCATGCTGTGTCCATTATCACACCGTGATATCGTCAATTGATCAAACTATCACTGGCGAACAGTTTGGAAGTGCTTAACCAGAATGTGTACTCTTGCCTTTGAATAATGACACAGCAAAGTGCTTATATTGTTTTCTGCAAATCTACAGCTGTCAATAGCCACACATTGATGAGTAGGTGGAGTGCTTACCATAGGAAAAAAGTTCATCATTGTTTGGGCATTATTATAAGCCTCTAGATGATGGTGGGCCAGACAAAAAAGCAACCTCAACACAGCAGGAAGCAGAGTTTGTCAATTCCTAATTAGCTTAAAAGGACAATGTGAAACCCCAGGCCAAGCTACTAAAAGCATTTAGGGGTTGATGTATAGTCTTAGTCATTTTTAATAGGCTGGAACACACTGTGGTCTTGTCAAGTGGTCCGGCTTCAACCACAGACTGTCCCAGCGTTAGCTCATCAGCTGCGCTCTCCTATCCTGGGTCAGAGATGGAAATGTATGTGTAACAGCCCATAAACAGATGGTGAGTGGTAGAACATGCACAAAACAAATGGACAAATGGTTACCAGGCAACAAAAGTACAATTTTATCATCACTGAAGGAGTGGATACTGAACATTAGAGTAGATCTGTTTGTGTTTCTCTGTGGTCTTCTCAGTTTTGGCTAAAAGGTTCACTAGAACCCACAGCTTGGGTTTCACCTGCTAGCCTTTGAGTGTACAGGCTAACAGAGTCTTAGTTATTTTACTGTCACAGTTCTTCATTAATACATTTGACACATACAGTGGTAATGCAAGTAACATCATAGCCTAAAAACATCTCACTCTGAATGTCAGCCTTAATCTCCCGAGGCTTTCAGTCTGTCTGTCTGAGTAGGTAGCTGATTGTGCGTGTGTGTGTAAAATCTATACAAAGCAACACAAGAAAATGAGTATTAGCTCCAATATTTGTCCAGATGTTCAGGGAAAAAAGCCAGTGATTCTGCCTGTTTTCTGCTTTGTTATCCTTCCTGTCTCCCTTTCCCCTCACTAGCTCTTATCTCTGCTATTCTCCAGGAGACTCTGGGCCCAAATTGAAGATTCCCCCTCTCTGTTTATGGTCATTCTGAGCCACAGCATTTGCTGTCTCTCGCCCAGATCACATTTGAGCCAACATAAAATAAGATAGTGTCTGACTGCTGGCAGATTGGTGCCAAGAAAAACCTTGTCAGCTCCAGCATTTATGCATCATCTTTTTAGAGTTGGGTGGCTTTTGTCAATAATGATACCAGAACTATTAGACATCACCAGATTAGGATGTTGTCAACATAGCTAAAAAACAAATAATCCTTCTTTACACTGATACTTAGAAGTATTTATTTATAAAGAAGTGATATAAGTATAAATCTATTGAATAATTATGTGAATATTACAATATAAGATTTACAATTTTGAGCACAGTTTATTTTGAATCTTTATTCAGTTTCAGGGGGACTGGTCAAAATATTTCCCTCTTCTTAGATACCTCTGTTACTCATATGCACCAAACCAGACAGTGAATAATCACATTTGTTTATTTTACATTAACAGTTTGAACATTTTGTTTGATACAACGAAATGACATCACCAACAAAGGTTTTGACTTCAAACTATTTACAGAATAAACCAAAGTTGAACATGAATGTTGCTGTCATTTTTGTCATTTATGCACCCAAGCATGGAAAATTACCAGTTCTTGCTCTGTCATTGGGTATTGTGCATCCAATGGAAGGCAATAAATTCTAATTATGCTTCTCTCATGTCACACTTAAGATGACAAATTAATACAGCTTGGCTATTTTC